TATGGCAATTTTTAGAAAAAAAAGTTTAATAAATATCGAAATTTACCGATTTTAAAAATCGTAATTTTTTGGGTGATTTTCACTATTTATAGATATTTACGGATATTGTCTTCAACTGATACGATTTGTGATCTTATGACTTATCGTTGAGAAAAATCGCTCCAATGAAAGTTGAGAAAATGTAGTGATAGACACATAAAAAAATAAACACATCTTAGTAAAATTAATACCTTCTCAGCTTCGTATCGAAGCTAAAAATTAAGTATTTGGATTTTTTTTTACTTTTATCGTGTATAAAATTGCATAGGACTTGATGCAATACTTTTAAATAAAAATGTTTGTTACTTATTAATAAATACACTGAACTATAAGCACTTTCATTGGAGGCAAAAATATACTTCTCTAAATCAACTTTTTACTTAGTTTTCAAATCTGCAATTAGACTTTTTTTATCACTTTATTAATTAATTTATTTAGAGACGCTTATTTTTATAAACAACACATAAAACTACCAAATTAGTTTTGATGTTGCACATAATATTTGTACTCAGAATATTTTATTTCAAAACTTTTATTTTTAAATATTTCGTCAAAAAATGGAATATTTCAATTGACAGGCTAAATTTGACAAAAATATATTTATATTTATATATTTATGCTTAATTTAATAAAATAATGGATTTAGCGAGCAAAATGTCATACATTGACGTGGCTAAAACGTTTAACTAATTTGTCTGTCAATAGATAAATGGATAAAATTTTAAAAATACGCCTCTATATTAATATCAAAAAACAAATCAAAATATATTTTAAAGTGTTTGTCTGTTAGTATTTTAAAATAGTCATGTAAGGTGGTTTGAAATTATCAGTAGCGATTTTTAAAACTATTAAATTTTTAAAATGGTAAGGTGTTATTCAAAATATATCATTGAAATATAATAAATATGAAAAATAAAATTAAAGCACTGAACAAATGATTGTAATATTACATCAATTTAAACAAATATTGTAACATTAAAATATAAAATTAGTATAAATTATTACATTTATATGAACAATTATATAATTGAGACATTTAATTCCAAAAGAACCCATATCCAAAAAAAAATTATTTTGTTATCTTACTTTTTCTAATCTAGTTATAAATTACCTATACACAGTTTTATCTTAGATTTAGTTATAAATTATGTATACAGAGCGATTCATTAAGGATAAGACACTCATTTTCTCGGAAACAATAATAAATATTTAATTTTTATAAAGAAACTATTGTTTGATCCTAAAAAATGCTACAATAATAGTATAATTTTTTTCCCCCTTCAGAGTTAAAAGAAATCATAGTATTATTTTTTTTTAAATGAGACACCTTATTTCCACCTTGATAATATGATAGAAAAACTATTTTGTTCTCATAATTTTATTTATGAGATCAACCATTCGTCTGTACCAGCATGTAAAAATATATGTAATTTTAAACTAAATTTCTATTGTTACTTTTATGATAGTTATCACAAAATTTTTTCACACTATTCGTTCAACAATGTATGACAGTAAACTTATATAAAATATAATAGTATGCGTCTATTAATGATATATGTATACAAAACAATAGAATAAAATTAGAAATTTGGTTTAAAATCACATATTTTTAACATGCAGGAACACTTGCACACAAGATAAAATTTTTCAACCTAATTTTGAGGAAATGTTCCGAAAATACTGACACTTATATATATATATATATATATATATCTTAAATTAAAGTTTATATAATAATATTACACAAGAAAAGTATATTACAGTAATATATTTTACTATAAAAAAAAAAATAAAATTTCAAACTTTATTTTGTCTTTGTGGTGAAAATGGCTACCGTATTCAATAATATGCTATTTTTGTATTATAATTCTTGGTTTTGTATTTTATTTTATTTTAAAATACCTTACAAAAGTTTTTGAGTTAAAAGAAAATTTTAACCTATTTGTTTATTATCTCATTTAAACTTAATAAATTCAATGAATATCAAGAACCTAATCACTGTAGTCTCTCCCTATGAGAAGAAATTTCTTATTCATATTATTTTATTATGTAGTTTTTTTTTTTGTGGCTGTCACTTATTTTCTCAGTTCTCACTTGACCAATTTTTTTTTAACAATACATCAAAACTAATATTTAGTTAAGTTTGTTATCCTCAAAAATTAAAAAAAAAATCCCCTTTATCAAATAAAAATTGCTTAACCAGCTTTCTCCATATAGACAATTAAAATCATTCATTTCTAATGTTTTTAATGTATTTATTGTAGAATTAGGTTTGATTTGATAATAGGTTTCAAATACAAAATTAAATCATGTTTCTTTGTAATTTATTAGTTTTTTCACTCTGTCTGTGTGTGACTACCAGTCTATAATATTCCAAATTTTTGGTTACGTGTTGCTATATAAATAATTTCAAAAAAGAAAGATTTATGTTTCACCTGAATTTAGCAATGCATTTTTACAATTTTATAATACGCTACATTTTTTAACAACTTATTGATTGTTTTTTATTAGTTAAAATTAATTGAATTTTGAATATTTTTAATACGTCATGGTTTTTTAACTACATATTATTGTAGAATTTTTCGAATCAAACAATGGTTTTTTTTATCAAAATTTTTAATTGTTTCCGAGAAAATAAGTATCTTGTCCTTAATGAAGTATCTGTTTATAAAAAACCAAATTAAAAAAAAAAATTTTTTTAGACATACGTCATTTTAAAAATTAATATTCAATTAATAATCTTTGATATTGAAGTATTTAACCCCATAAGATACTGAACAATATTGTAAAAATACACTCACAAAATAGATTTTTTAACTTATATTTTATATGGCTTTGTATAAAGGCTAAAGTTAATTAACATCTTGAACATTAAAAAAATATATAAAATATTCGGGCAATTCAATATAGGTCAAATTAAGATGATAATTTATTTCCAAGGGTGTTGCTTTGCATTTATAAATAAGTGCTAAGCAACACACATACAAACATGAATATTATTTATAAAAGGTTATTAGTAAAAACAATAATTTATAAGATATTTTATGGTTAAAGAGTAATTTATTTTTCTATTATAATTGTAGTAATTTTTGTACAAAAATGGACAAATGTCTCTTAACAAATTTATTTAAACATACGCAGAGATCAAATTTTGAAAAATATATTCTATTTAAATAGATTGATACGAATATTATCGTAAAAAAAAAATACTCATGAATGTGAAATTTTTTATTTAATTTATGATTACTTTCAGTGTGGTTTTTTTTTATTAATAAAAAATACTTTTTTTCAATTTAATATTTTACTTATATATGAGTAAAATATTAAATTAAACATAACATTTCATTATTCTATTCATACTTCAACTGATTTTTAGTGAATTTTTGAGTAGTTATATATTTAAAAAAAATCCAGCACAGGGGGGTCGCGGCACAGTGGTGACGTGGCATAGTTTTTAGTAAAAATTTTTTTAAAAATTTCGAAAATTAGCGATTTTTTAATTTGTAATTTTTTTGCATATTTCCCCCATTTACGGGGAACGAGGGAAATTTTTCAATTTTGAAGGGTAATGTCTTCGACTAGATACGATTTGTGATCTTTTGACGTATCGTTGAAAGAAATCCGTTCGGTGAGAGCTGAGAAAAAGTGGTAACAGACATAAAAAAAACAAATCATAGTAAAACTAATACCTTCTCAGCTTCGCATCGAAGCTAAAAATGATAATATGTACAAGGTAATTGATTAAGTATTTCCCTCGCATATATTATATACAAAGTGATTTATTAAGGATACTACCCCCTATTTTTTCGATAAATAATGTTTTTTTAATAAAAATGTATATAATAAAATTTAATTAATTTTTATCAACTAATGTAAAGTTTATTGTAAGAAAAATTATTTCTAAGGTTAAATTTTAGGGTTAACTTTCGAAAGTTAAATACGAACCTATTATTATTGTTTTACTATTATATGGAAAATTGTCTAAATAAAATGTTGTATTATTACTTTTTGAGTTGTTCTAATTTTGTATATAAGTGAACAGGGTGTGAAATGTACAAGAATTCTTATCTGTGCGTTATGGTAAAAATAGAGTGTCACTAACTAATACTCTCTCCTCTCCTTTTATATATCTTTAAATGCTAATATCTCAAAAATTAATAATACAAAACTAGTTATCGACCACTCAAAATTTATTTAAACTATTCTTCATTAAGTTGTATAAAAAAATAATAAATTCCTATTTAACTTTCGAAAATTAACCTTAAAATCTACCCTCGTATATAATTTTTTTTACAAACTTGTTATTTACAATAGTTTATAAAAGTTAATTAAATTTTAATCTATATATTTTTATTAACAATCATTATTTAACAAAAAAATATAGTGTAATGTACTTAATATATGTACTGAATAAATCGCAATGTATATAGTTTTTATCTTTTTTATTCCTAAGTCGGAGAAAGAGCGCGGTTGACAAACGTCTAGTAACAGAAAAATTTAAAAAGTTGGTACCCTAATAAGACACAAGAGATGGTTATGAAAAATACTTCATAAATGATAAATTGAGAAAAACATATAACAAAGAGAAATTAATATTGAAATTCTCAATATTATAATTATATTAAAATAATTAATGATACATATTATAATATTTTTTATTATGAAAGAATCATATTGTTTATAACTAAACAAAAACAAATAAAATTAAAATCTAACAGCTACAATTTCCCATTAATGGGAAAATGAGATGTTTTTAATTAAATTGTTCTTAGTAGATGGTATTCTTTACTAAATATGATATCATTTTAGGTTATAAAAATCTGATTAAAATTAAAAAGAGGTACATCTATGAATAATTAAAATTTGAAAAGTTATCACATGCGCCTAGCTCCTGAAGAGTTTATCTTGCGCCGACGTCATCAAAACATGGGGCTCTGTAGTACTATTCAGTTTTGGCGGGTGGCAGTCGATTCTGGCATCGTTAAAATAACCCTCGTCTCGTATCGTTTTGTTACATATACCACGCTTAGTTTACTTGCTATCCACGTGAATTGATACCATTTTTTTAAAAATTGATTAAACACTACTTTTTACAACGTCATATTTTTAATTCCGTTAAAAAAAAAATAACATTTGTGCGTCTGTGAAAATATTTTCTCATTCTTTCATAAAGGTAATAACAAATAATTAATTTTTGCATATATAAATCATTTTACTTGTATAGATTATCAAATTGTCTGATGTTGAACTGTTATTAATATCAACGATTTAATATTAGATTGTTTAATAATTATTTATTTATAATGTCTATTAGATTAATTCAATTAATTGTAGAATACAAGGGTTCATAAAATATTTGGTTTCGCTGTATGCTCAACAGATCCACAGTTGAAGGGGATTTATTGAGCTCTCGCCAAACAAACTGCGTTTTTTTCAGAATCCTAGCCAAAGTCGCAGAGAATAAAAATAAGAAAGCAAAAAAGGGCTTAGCCCTATCAGTTGACGAACTAGTAACCAAAAAAATGAAAAAAGATATATGTTGTCATATACGGGATCACAGTGATCCGTAAACTCATTTAAAGTTCATCTAATTTAACAAAAAAAAACCTATCATGACAAATTGCTTTAAAAACACATACTCTAAGAATATTTCATTTTCAACATCGGATCAGATTTATTTTACTAAAAAAGGTTAAACAATTTTTTTTGTATTAATTATTTTACACAAAACATTTATCGAAATATTGAATATAAATTTAATACTAACTTACTCCTAAGTATTTTAATATGTATTACACAAAGTAAATATACTATTTTTAAAATCAAAACGATCGTTTCCAACATTTTTTACTAATATTTCATAACTTTTCGCTAAAATATAATATCACTCTTGTTTATTTAAAACAATATTACTTTTCTCTAAAGCTCTAAAATTCTTTCTGATATCTTAACGACTCACATGATAAGACATAGTAGCTGATAGATGTATTATTTGAAAATATACTATACCTAATATTACTATTCGTGAGGGGAAATAGATTAAGAAAATTTTGGGGAAATGATATATTTTAATACTTTACCTTACTTTAAAATATGTTTCTACATAAGAATATATAGGGTAATCTGTACGTAAAGAAATAGGTCAGTTGTTACAAACAATGAGAACAATAGAAATCCATTTTCTTACCTACTGAAAATTCCGTATACAGGATGATCGAAATCTGGTAAGACACTTTTAAAATTTTTGTAAAGAGAAAAATTATTAAGTTTATAAAACTCTACAATAATATGAAGTTAAATAGATTTTTTTTTTATCCCTTCAGGGATAAAAATGTTTATTTATAATTTTTTTAAATAGGAACCACTAATTTTGATTTCATAATATGATAGAAAAAAAAAATTACAAACAATTTTGTTCTAATAATTTTTTTTATCCGAACAACCGTTTACGTTTTATAATTGTTTAAAGATTTTGACTTCCAGAAAAAATATTGTCATTTATTACGTTTCATAATATCGGTGGCAGTACAACCGGTATTTTTTTAGATTCTTTAGTCTTACGAAACCATAGACTTAGCTATTAATAATACACCGAAAACCCGGTTTGAATCTATTATTGCTATCACTCCTTTGGTGCGTAGTAAATTTTTATAGCTAATTTACCTGTCATAACTTGATCAATAAAATTTGGTTTATGCAACAGCAAATACAAATAATGACTTCTGTATTTAATACAGTAAAATGACAATAGAAATTTGGCCTAAAATCACTAAACATTAATAAGCTGTAACGGACGAACGGTTAATCGGATAAAAAAAATTATAAGAACAAAATTGTTTGTAATTTTTTTTTCTATCACATTATAAAGTTAAAAATAAGGGATCCCATTTAATAAAATTATGAATAAGGGTTTTTATCCTTGAAATGACGAAAAAAATAATGGTTTAACTATACAGGGTGATTTTTTTATCATAACCCACTCAATTACTTACAGAATAATAATAATTAAAAAATTTTTTTTTATTATTATCTTTAGTTACACATTATTCTTGAATTATTAACTATGTAATACTTTTTAAGTTCATCCCTTATGCCTGGTAAGGGTGTCAACTTTGTTTTTTTAAATGGTAACACATATTTTTAATTTAATAAAATGTTTGAGTTTTTAATTCAATAGTAAATGGCATTTGAATTTTTAATGAAACTTAATTTGTTTATTAGATATAAACATTTAAAGTTTCAAATTTTTGAGTTAATATATAGGTATAATACACAAGGGATTACAAATACAGGTAGCTAATTGGTTTTTTATAACATCGATATTAGCAGGTACACAGCATTGTTATTATCAATTGTAGTAAGGCACATTGTTATGAGTTTATAAATACACTAACTGACAATACAGAAAGTATATCTATTGATAATCATAATTGATAATAAACAATCCGTGACTGAGACAGCAATGTCATAAAAAACCAATTAGCTACCTGTATTTACAATCCCATGTGTATTATACATGTATATTAACTCAAAAATTTGAAACTTTAAATGTTTATATCTAATAAGCTAATAAAGTTATATTAAAAATTCAAATGACATTTGTTATTGAATTGAAAACTCAAACATTTTATTAAATTCAAAATATGTGTTACCATTTAAAAAAACAAAGTTGACACCCTTGCCAGGCATAAGGGATGATCTTAAAAAGTATTACACAGTTAATAATTCAAGAATAATGTGTAACTAAAGATAATAAAAAAAAAAAAATGTTTAAATTATTATTATTCTGCAAGTAATTGAGTGGGTTATGATAAAAAAATCACCCTGTATATTATTATAGAGTTTTTTGAACTTGATATTTTTTCTCTATAATAAAATTTAAAATTCTCAATATTTTCTGAGAAAATGAGTGTCTTACCAGATTTTAATCACCCTGTATATATATTTTTTGAGGAAGGTTAATAAAATAATTGGGAGAAAAGCCTCCTCCCATGGAGTGTTATCGGGGAACAATTCTGCATCAAAAAAAATAATTTTCCTTTTCATAAATGTAAAAAAAAAAAGTGGAAAATTTAAATACTTTATCGTTTATTTGATAATAAAACCTGCCCCGATTTTAATAATTATACATTCTAATTATAATTATTCTAATCAACAATTTACCATAAAAGTTTTTTTGTTACTTTAGATAAACTATTTAGTAGTTTTTTGTATTATCTATACAATTTAGTACCTCTATAAAGAAATGAATTAATAAAAAACCAAACCATTTTCAAATATACTTGAATTAACACTTGAATAAATAAAAACAAAATATAACTATATTAGGTAATTATCAAAAATGTTATTTATATTTTTAGTATTAGGATAAAATAAGTGAATTATTGATAAGAAAGTACTCTCAAACTATCATATGCATTCAACATATTAAAATTAAATTAAAAAAAAAAAAGGAAAGCTTAGGTAACAGCGTACTTGGTCAAACTAAATGTCATTAATCTATAAAAATAATGTATTTTATCCTTAAATAATCCTAATATAATTTAATGAAAATATTTAACGATTATGAAAATTGACCATACAATAAGTCAAGGAGAGCAACTGTCTTATTTTGCCCCCTTACAGACGCTAACTATAGAATATAATCAATATTATATATGCCTGTAAAGAACATTTTATAGTAAAGACCATTAGTAATATATTTTATTTTGGAATTTTTGTATTTAATTATTATTTATGCATTATTGATGCTAATCGTAAATATGATATATTAAAAATGAGCCTTTTGGCTATTATACTGGTTTGCTTTTGATGATTTTACATTAAATTATGACTCGTAGGTCTGTTTACAATGATAGCAATGTCTTAGAAATAGCGGCAAAGTTAAATATAACCGTTATGTATAGTGATATATGAAAGAATATTCTCGAGAAAGTTTTTTTAGTAACAAGAATATTTTACTATAAATTATTAAAAAATTTTAAAAAAAATAAATATTTTTAAATAATTTCTTTCGGAGTATTTAATGAAACTTAAAAATTATTTAAAGTACTAAATATTAATTGAAAATTAATTATGGAAATCTTTTATTTGGTCGATAATTGCAAGAAAAGAGAAATATTAGAATTCTCAATACATTTGAGTCAAAAAAAGATAATATGGCTTTTCAATATATTTAATTTTATGACTTCTTGCTATTTTTTGCATTTTAAAGGTTTCTTAATGTTTTATTTGTTGTCTAAAGACTATTAATAATAACCCTTCANTAATTTAAAATAATATGATATAATGATGTGATAATAAACAAAATATGTATGTCTCAGGAAAATTAAAATTTCAGATTATAAGGCGGAATTTNTGTTGTCTAAAGACTATTAATAATAACCCTTCAAAAAAATACTTAAGTGTAAATACAATCGATGAATTATCAATCCAAAAAAAAAAATTCCGTATAATTACCGTAAATTAGGCTCAATCTGGTCGTCAAATATGAATTTGGTTACTTCTAAATATAATCTAAACATTAGACGTTATAAACTCAAAAATAAAAAATTGGATAATTGGATAACATTTATTCGAAGTAGATTATGTCTTTAACTTCATTTGATCGAATTATCTAAAGCAAAATATATAAATTTGCAAGTGACCAATATTTTACTTGTTGATTAATTCAGGATCATTTTAAAATAATGTAAAATATAATAAAAACAATTTAAAAAAAATGTTCTTGTCTTTTGAGCGTATTCTCAAATTTATAACTGTAATTTTACTATAATATGATATAATGATGTGATAATAAACAAAATATGTATGTCTCAGGAAAATTAAAATTTCAGATTATAAGGCGGAATTTTAGTGTAAATCTTTTTTGCATTCTTAATAATCTCTAAAAAACCATAGACGTTTATTTAATGGCGTAGTTTTAAAGCAAGCACAGACATAGAGTAGTCCACTTTTTGAGGTTAGGCTAAAATTAATTTTCTTCCCTCCAAAAAATAATTTTTATAAAACAATGTATATAATTTTACCAAATTTTTGGAGGTCTAAATTGTAAACTGAAAGGACTGAATCCCTTTAGTCTCCCAACTTGACGCAAACGAAACCAAGTCTTGTTTTCATAGAATGGAAATGCGTTCGCAGCAAAGTGCACAGAAAAATTGCAAGGAACATTTTTATTAAAACAAAAAAACTAGGTAGGTACGAGCTCATTGTTTTAATCGATAGTAATTACAGACTTTATTTTTAAATCTAACAGGCGTTACGATTACCCAGATAATATACTAAAAGACTCGTACAATCCTACACGATAAAAGTATTATATATTTTTCAATATCATTAACTCAATAAAGTTGTTCAATAAGTTATAGTCGTTTCTCGTTCACAATAAAATAACTTGTGAAATTCGTATAGTGTGTGTTTGTATGTAAATCACATATAGTAAACGTCAACACTACTGTAGAATTTGGATTTGTATTAAAAAGTTCTGTAAATTAAATTTTTCAACTTTAAAAAACATTTCGGGAGGTTTTGAAATCCGAAAGACGACTTTAGATATCTTAGACACTTAAAGGTTGTTCGAGTTCAAAGTTCCAAACTAATTCAAATATCAAAAAACAATATTTTTTTTATATGTCACTAGATATGAATTTAAAATTGTCAAACAAAAAATTAAATAAGAAAATTATCTATAAAAAAATTTTCTTATTATTTTTATAAAAGATCAATAGTTTTTGCGATACAAGGTAGACAATATGAATATGTTAAAAATATAATAAATTTTTTAATGTTAATAAGTATAAATTGTGTGTATGAGAAAAATATCTATAATTCAGTGTTATTTTAAATTTTATACTAACGACCCCCTTTGAAAAAACGAATATTGATGTACCCTTTTTGAAATCACAAGTGTATTGGGATAACTAGAATACGTTCGTTTTCAAAGCACCTTTGAGGTAAAGTTAAGTTAATATATTACTGACTTGTACTTGAATTACATCCAATTGCTTCAAAATAATTCACTAAGAGTATCTCGGCACTTTGAACCTGTATGTACTTCTATATACTTAAGTCACAGTAAACGTTTAATCATCCAAACAAGTATTAATGTATAATATAAACTATTTATTAGCTGTTATAGAGCAAAACTAAGAAGCAGTTCAAAAAACTCAAACAAATCCAACAATGTATTATAGGGCGTCACATATTTTCTGTAAAATCCCTTTAATTCTACTGAATAACTGTCGATATTTTCATTTTTGAAAAATGTTTAGGATTCTAATGGTACCATAAAAAATATATTCAAAAAAAATTATTTGAATAATAAAGAAAATAAAGAGAAATAAAATTTAATTATACTACACATAGAATGGTTTGTTTCTATGACTCACGCAATACCTTTAAAAATATTGAACATATGATCTTTTTATCTACAAAAGTAAATATTATCCTATGTTTTATAAATTTAAAAAAAAATGGTTCTATCTCCTCTTTCCAATTTAAAGGAGAAAAAATTTTAATTTTTTAAATGAAATCATATACGTTAAATGAACAAAAAAATGATTTGTCAACAACAACTTTGATAATAAGTGTTAAAATGTTATTATCGAACTGATATTTTTTTAGTTCAGGTAAAATGGTGTGGGAAGTTCACTAAAAAATTTTACTCCTTCATGTTTACATTCAATGTGTAAAAAAGGAACGTATTCCTTTTGCTATTTATTGAATTTTTTTTTTTTTTTTTTTATCAATAGTTTATTTGTAGTATAATTATCTATTAATATAAACGAATTAATTGAAGAAATCCAATTTCTATTTTGTAGCTCTGTTAAATATAGAGTTATTAAATACCGCGTGACGTAGTTGTTATCATTAGATTATAAACATTTTTAAATTAATTATCTAATTTATTTTTTATACGTGACAAATAAATGATACCATCATGTAGAATATTTAATAATTAAAATATATTCAATAATTTTGTTTAATTTGTAGAATCGCACTTACTCCTTTATTGTGGCAAGTGTGACCCTCATTTATTTTTGCTCTAATAATCACTGAAAATTTGATATTAATTTATTTGAACTTTTTAGTATAAATGCAGATATTCTGATAATTTTTGTATTATATATGATAATTATTTAACAAAGGAATTATACAAATCATTTTATGACCATATGTTTTATACTTTTAAAGATATTGCACTAATTATAGTTAATCAATCACTTTGTGCAACAATTATTACTATTTATATTTTAATTTTTAGGATTTAATAGATATTTCAACAGATTGCTGATGTCAAAAGGTTTACCATAATTTAAGCACTTATTAGTGAGTATGGGCAAGAGAAATTCAAAACTAAAGCAAGACACAATTGAAAAATTAATAGAAGACACATACTGTGAGTAAAATTATTTAATCATGAATCGTAAAAAATTAGTATAAGATTATTTCAAATTTTCTTTTTAAGTAAGATTTTTAAAAAAATAATAATAATAATGATCCTAAAATCAATTTTTCGCACTCAAATGTTATTCAATTGTTTTATGATTGTGTGTTATTATCAACATCATTTCTTTAGTAAATATTGGATATTTTGGAAAATATTAGTAAAATAATAAATTATTTTTATAATAGGCATTTATATTGATAATGTGATCAAACTAATCTAACGCAGTGAAAAGTTTGCTTTGTGTTTATATTTATGATACATTCCAATCGGAGTCAAAGAGTAAAATAAAAAAATTATTAACTGTTTAAGAATAGATTAAGCTCTAATATCTTAGAACACTATAAAAAAATTTACCTTTAACGTTAAGTCTTTTTAAAATGGAAACCTTTCAAATTTATAATACTGATTCATTGAATAAAGTTATCAGATTTATAAGTTCTTTTAAGATTTAATAACAATTCGTTTTTTTTTTTCAAACAGAATATAAAAAAACCCAGCACAGGGGGGTCGCGGCACAGTGGTGACGTGGTATAGATGGATTAAGTATAATGATATCTGACAGTGANTTCAAACAGAATATAAAAAAACCCAGCACAGGGGGGTCGCGGCACAGTGGTGATAAATAATTTATTTGCATTTTAACTAAACTAACTCTTAAAGGATTTGATCTATAATAATACCTCACCGTGAGAAATCATCATAAAAATAGTCATTTTACCGATTTAGTTATAAAAAAATCTAATCACAACATTAGTTGTATTATGTAGTTAAACTTTGTTTCATTGACGATGAAATTTATTTAACGTTTGCTGTTGTCCTAACAGATTTTAGTATCAATGTTGAACATGAAAAGATTTTTGTGTAATACATTTTGACAATAGAAAGTTGAATCAATTTATTATTTTTTCCGGTAGTCTCCATCAAATGTATTACTGCTTGAAATAAAATGACAGAACAAACTTTTCTTTTAAATCATTTTATTAGTCGTTCATAGCTATGGTAATATAAATCGATATCTAGAGTATCAATTTTATATATAATTCCACAGAAAAGTTTATAAGAATGGCGGGCTAGGAGTTTTTCACAGCCTCAACCTCTATTACACCCGTAGAAATAGTTCTCGTTTAGTTTATTATTTGTCATTTGTTTTCCTCTATTTAATTTAGTTGGTTTTTCTAAGAAAAAAAAATCCATCCCGAAATGATAAAAAATTCAACACATTTAATCAGTACGTACACTATTTAATTTTTTGGTTCAAAATAACACTAAATTTTATTTTATTTGATTTAACTTTTGAATTTTTACCATATTCTGTTATATCAAATCTTCTTCATTTATTAAAAGTTCAAAGTCCCCATAGACTGTTTTCGATGGATTTTTATTCCATTTTATGTCCGGTATACCAGATGGTGGCAATACAATAGACAATATATCGTTCACCAGTTTTTGTTTGATTATTCGATCGTTCATTGAGGTTGCAGATAATGACGGCGAAGCATTAACCTCGACCAGCCACGGTTTTAGTTGATCATCAATGATTATGTCAAAGCCGTAACATTCGAAGCAATGTCGATCATTAACCATTACATTGCTTACTGATTTTAATGTGTGCACAATTAACCACACAATCTTGTCAAACATCATATCAGTCGCCTGTCAAAATGTTTAATTACAGTATTGTATTTTACAGGTCTCCAATAATATGGAAGACTTATAATACGATATATTATATTAAACAGCGACAAAAACATAACATTTTATAAATGAATACTCATTTATTCCCAATAATTAAAATTTCTATGTGTATGTTTTAGCTGATATTACATTAATTGTAATTAACGTAAGTAATATTTTAATTTTTGTGGAAATTTATCTTGAGTTACAAATAAAAATTTACACGTACAATTATACAATAAAAATCTATTGTTAATAAATTTAATATTTATTTTTATTATTATATTACTTATTTTATTTAAATAGGTTTTTCTTATTCTAGTATATAAACAAAAACTATTGTGTGTTATTTAATTGTCATTTATGTAAAAATTGTTTTACTTAAAGATTCCACATTCTAAATTAGGCCAATCAAATTTAATAATCAAATTATAAAGTAACCCAAAACTTTTATAATATTAAATTTAAATACATTTTCAGTAATCTATTTTGGATTTTATTTTATTGTCACAGTAGGTATCTCATAGAATATTATACCTATAGTTTGAACATTATTTGAATTCAGTGATTAATTTTTATTTTTATAAAATAAAAAGAGAAAAAAGCTCAATAAAAATGTAAATTCATTACTTCAAAACACTGAAAATGTATATTAAGGTAGATTTAATTACAACTCAATTTAATAAACTATAGATTTGAAAAATATTTAGAAATATAGAAATTATGATCAATATGTCAGTTACTGGACAGGGAGAGTCAAGTTGACAATCTTTAGATTTAATTCAATCTCATAGTAAGAATATTCACCATAATAACTTCATAGTAGGCAGAATTATAAACTTAGAATGTGTTAAATATTTAAAAGAGACCATAAGATCTCTAAAGTGTATTCCTGGATAGTTAATAGGTTAATTTTTTTGAAATAGTTCGACTAATTATGGGTATGCAAATTATTTTATAAATAGAAATTTCATATACAAATAAAAAACTATCCCATTTCAGTTTTATTCAAAGATAGTACTTGCTAATACTCGTCTAGTATGAATAACACTTAAAATCACAAGTACTTTTTATTCGTGATGGTTTTCTTTAGTTATTGCAATAAAAAAAGTATCATTTATACATTCACGCTCAAGTTTAAACCTTATGCCGTAAAATAAACAATATTATGTCGTTCTTGCAAAAAAAGTATACGTGCATTCAAAAAAGTCATATGTGTTTATTTAAATTCATTTTGATAAATTTGTCATTGTATATTTAAAAATAATTCGAAAAAAGTTCACAATTATTACAATAAATTTTTTAATTCAAGAATATCATCTTGAACTAAACATCAACTGGCCCCACTCTCCCCAACAATGATCATAACTAACCCTTATTACACTTATTAACTTTAAAAAAATTGAATTAATAAATCTGTACTCTATATTTTGTTATTTTTTATACAAACCATGTACACTTTTATGTAAATAGTTTATTAATAACATTTTTTAAAAATATTTTAGTAATATTTAACATTTATTGAAGTAGAATTTTACTATAATTCAATAAAAAAACTTTAAACAGACGATTATATAATTTTCTATCGCGTGAAATATGTTTAAATTTGTTTTATGTGTGACATAGTTAAATTTTGTTCTTTAAAATCACACTGGGATAAATTTTACATTTGATAAAATTAGAATGTCATATATTTACGAGGTCGATTTAATAATGTTACAACCGAAGTGGTGACATGAAAACAAGACGTGGGTAAAAGGCAGTCTATTTTTAATAGGAATATGGAAATCATTAATCAGTTAGTGTCAAATTATTCTAGAAAATATGCAAATTAATGAACTCTTGCGGTTAAAGTTGTATTAAAATTAGCAAAGTTGGAAAAATTTTAAATTAACATTAAATGTAAATTTAATTTAATCTAAGAATATTTGATTGCAAGTTTAAAAATAATACAAAATAGTTATATTATAATAGGTAAAATCATATTATCATTGATCAAAAAAACAAACTATCAAATGTCATAAATAAACTCAAAATGTCACGAAGAATATTTATGTATAAATTGAGAAAAATCAATTGTTTTAATACAATCTAAAAATCCATCTCATTGAAAATATTTTATCTTTTAAGAAACTTTAGCTGACAACTGGTAACATTTCACAGCATTGTCATTTTTAGCTCAAGGAACGTCGTAAAAAGCTTCAAAATGTTGATATTAAATTGTACACGTATAAAATATATTTTATTAACATAAATAAAATATTACAGGTTCTGTTTCATTATTAAAACGAAAAAAGTGTGCATGCGCAAATACTGTTGTCAAATGATAAAAATACGATTAACTTAAACATTTTCTTATATAAATAATTATAAATACATAAACAGTCCAAGTATTTGAAAAATCAATATCAAAATTATTGGGCTGTTATTTAAAAATAAATAAATTGTGCACTTTTTATTAAAATATTAATGATTGAATATTACTTAAAATAAAATACAAATGATTGATACAATGCAAGAGATAGTAGAATATTATTGAATGCGATATGAGGACGGCTGATGTGAGCGTAGATGATGTGGGAGATCGTGTCAAGTGGAAGATTAGGATAAGGGTGGACGACCATAAGTAGTTGGGATTAAGGCGAGGAAAAAGAAGAAGAAGAGGAGATAATGGAATGTATCATTTAAAGTTAATTTTTTTATAATTTGTATAAAAGTCAATAATTTATCTCATTATTGATTTGAACACATGATAAAGTTAAATTATAGTCAATTTTCTATTTTAATCGTGTTAAAAAAAACATTTCATAATGGGATATTGCTTTATTAAAGTTATAGATTATTTATCATTTTTAACACCAAAATCCAACCACTTTTTATTTTAACATAACTTATAGTCTATAAATTCATATAAATATACTAGTATTAATAAATATATTTATTGATGAGCTAACGGCTATTATTTTTTATAAATAAGCTAAGCATCCTTTAATATAAGAATGGAGAGTAGCCTTGTTATAACATAAATATTTTTTTTTCAAAATTTACTGTTGTTTCTTGAAAAATTAAAAAAAAAAAAATGTCTGACCTGTTTACCTTTTGTGCCCTCTAACAGGAGGCGAAAATTGTGTATTGTCATTTTACTGCCGGTTAAAGAGTTGTATTCTCGACCATTTTTTTGTACAGATACATTGGTTAGGTGCACAAATACATTGTCTATGTCATCTAAATTAGTTTTATACTGAACCGTACAGAACCGACAAAAGCCAGACTTGTACATGTAAGCTTTAAGTGGCTTAAACGATGTGACCAGCACGTACATTCGCAAGTCACATTTGCGACCTCCAATAAGGAGTGGTCGTTCAATATACCTCGATATGACGTAATGTTCTCTGGGAGTATTTGGATTATACGGTTCTTTACTCTCTTGAGCCCACTTTTTTAATTTGGTCAGTTTGTTAATCAAAAATATACCCACTCCTCGTGATCTTCCCACCGGCTTAACGATCCACATACTAGGTCCGGTACCAAGAAACTCTTGTTTGAAAATATTGTACTCTTCAGGCAATACGAAAGTGGCGGGTATGAAGTCTAAATACATGTAACGTTTGGTGTTTGGGTTTATGGCAGCAATGGGGTTACCAGAACGCTGTAAAATTCTTCTATAACGTTTAATGTTCCTTACGAGGAGGTCTTTCCGACTGAGTTCGTAGTGGTTTGGGAAATGGTTAACAATTTGATTTTCATTCAACCGAACATGACTGTTGCGGCGAAATAATGTTCGTACACTTTGTGAGCTGGCCCAATATAAATTCCATTTTTTTTCAACGGAAACTTGAATCCATTTGAGTTTTTTAAAGTTGATATTCAGCACTTTATAGTCTGCATCGACGTTTCTGTCCATACAGTAAGAAACCTTCATTAGATTTGAATAATTTATTTAAAAATTTTATAACATTTAATAAGAGATTTTTTTTTGTCATCATGACAACCATTAGTTTCTTTTTTTTTACAAAAAACAAGAATTTTGTTTGAATATAAAATTGTAAATCCAACGGAAAAGGTCAAAATGTAATGGTAATGCAATTTAATAAGAATAATGGCGTCCGCATATTTTAAAATAAGTTTTTGTTTTAATGGTATACTAAAAATGTTCATACATAAAATAAAAAAGATAAGATAAAAATACTACGATGTTATATTATATTGTTATGTTAAATTTCTTATTTGTAATAAATTTCTACAAAATAAAAAAACTTTTATTGACAAATAGTTATGTTTTACTTTTAGTTAATTTTAATGGAACTTAATACTAAACAGTTTATAGTAAAAAAAAACATTAGACTTTGAATAATTTGTTTAACTTGTAATGTCTTGATAGTTTATTTTATTTCATGTCTTCAAAAAAAAAAACGGTAACTTTTTCTTGTCAATTCGGTTGTTGTCACGACCACTCTCGTAATGCTACACGTATGAACATTTACACAAAAGTTTCTATTTACTATGCAAGTCCGAAAAAAGATTAATACGCTTGGCAAACTGATTAGCTTCACTCGAAGGAAGTTTACTGATTTATCGTTTTTAGACTTCACAGTTGTCAAGTATAACACTACCCTTTGAGTTAGCAATACATTGTGGTAGAACTTACAACACATATAAACTCTACAATGAGCGTTATGACAATTATATTAAAACAAAAGCCAAGATAATACGTCTCCCGAGACCATGTTTATCGATCCACACTGTCAATAGTCCCCCAAAACATAATTTAAATTATGAACTCATAATTTATGTGGTAAATGTATTAAACTTAACTAAACGCCTAATCAAGTTGAGCACTTATGTTGTGTAATATCATTTCAAGCAAAGTGTATGTCAAGAATTGACCGGACTAGAAATATTTTTAGCAGTTATCCTTGAAGTTTTCCACGATTAAACTGAAAAATATTTATTAAGCAAAAAATTATTTTAATGCTATATGATATTTTATAAAAATGGTCTGAAAAAAAAATTTGCTAAAGGTCATAAAATACATACGTTAAGTTGTTTTATTTGTTTGTTATGATGCTGCAAAATTATTTTTAGATTGCGTAAACGACATAATGAGTATATTTGATTTTGTTTTTTATAGAATGATATATTCATAGTTATTTGCAACACGTTTACAAAAGGTTAAGTAAAGGTTTTTTAAAACTTGTTTAACGATTTCACTATTTTTAAGAAGCAAATAAGATTTTTTATGTTTCTATAGTCTAAGTTTGCTATTTGATACATCCGTCCTGGATGTATATATTTCAAGTTTTTTTTTTTATATAAATGGTATCTTAAATTGTTTTATATTTTGCTTTTTTAAAACTTAGTATAAAATATAATAAGAACCAATGGCTTATCTGTTGTCTTGATTTTACACTTTTATTAATCGATATTTTGCGAAGACATAATTATGATTCGTAAATAAAAATATTGGTTGCATATAAGTTGTTTGATTATTTCTATTTAATTTTATTACAAAAAATCTGAATTTACGTTTTGAATTAATGAGTCATCTTAGTAATATTGTTGCCTCTTTCATTACGAATAAAATTTCGTTAAAATCAAACATTAATTAATTAATTATTATGTATTTGTTTGATTTTTGTTATGAAACTCTTTCAGAATAAAACCATTTTATATAAGTTACATCAAAGAAAAAAAATGTTCTGAAAGGTTTTTTCAAATATGGAAAACTAACGTTCTTTATAATATCACTTAAACGGTATTTATCTGAAGCTTATGTCATATAAATAAAAAAAAATTTATATTTTTTTATCCTCCTGATATTGAAATTTTATTGTTCATATAAATATGAATAATATTCAATAATTTTATGACATTAGCAGAAAAATCGACTAGACCAAATATTATTCCATTTATTAAGTAGGTACTAAGGGCGATTCTGATAATTTCAATAGAATAACGTTTTAATATCTCAATTATAAAATAGTATTATTTATTGAAAGTACATCTTAGGTAACTAAAGGTCACCCAAAAAAAAAAAAACGTTTAAATTATTTTTATTCTATAAGTAATTGAGTGGGTTATGATAAAAATATCTCCCTATATATAATACAGATTTTTATAAAGACATTTTATAAATAATCCAAGACACTAGCTAAAGAAATGATTAAAAACACTAATCAATAAAAAAGTTCAAACGATTATAATAATTATTTGTAATCCGGACGATTTCTATCGATAATATGAATTATTTCAATAAAATATAATAATTTTTTTATCCGTGTCTATAAAACGCCTTATATAAACTTGTTATGATGCACGCATTTTAATATTGTTTAATAATATGTGTTATTTTTTGTTTTGCTGCTCAGTTTCGGAAAGAGAAATAAGACAATGGTAAGTAAATATTTAATTTTGTTCAACTATTAAATTTTCTTTACAAAACCATTTTAAAAGAATGACGAAATTGTTCGATTGTAAAATAAAACACAAATAAGTTATAATCAAATTTCATTATGTTCGACCATTTTTAATATAAATTAAAATAAAATTATTAAAATATATTTCCTAAAAATATAAATAAATCTAATTTTAAAATTGATTTTATTCAGCTAAATAATTTTAATTTAACTAATTTATACATTTTCATTTTAATCATATAATAGCAAGTCATTAATTTTAATTGCTGAAAACATAATCATTGGTGTAGTCGTCCGCATTTCGCGGTCGATGATCTTAAGTGTGTATGGGGTAAATTACTCCTTCACAGAAGTTTTTTGGGGGCACGTGAGGAAGGAGTGGATTTCCTCCCCTAGGTTAGGGTCATCTAAGTCTATCGTATCATCCACCGTTGTTGCTGGCTGTCCCCCTGCCGCAGTTGTTGTTGTCGACGATGTTGACATGGTCCCCCACCACTTTGGCGTAAAACTTTTTGCCTGCGTTTGACAGGTGATACACTTTACAATAAATAACGTCCCCGGCGGTGTATTTTGTTGTGATGTGCCCGGTCGGATGCGTGTTGGTGATTTTTGAGGTTGTTCGCGCGCTAATCGCTGTCATTGATGGCGACTATATGTTGTACTGACCGGTCACCGGACCGTTTCCGTTCCCTTCCCAGAACGTATTCCTAGCGCATCAAAAATTGTTTTTGTTGTCCCTGAGCCTATTGGGTCCATCTGTTTGTTTTACCCTTAGACGTTCTAAATCTATACAGACTACTTTCCAGAGCTGTCTAGGTCAATAGCTAACCCAGCAGTAGTCAGTAGCTAATTAAAACAAGAAATTGGTCGTTATACTAACGCTCTAGTACTCCCCTCCCCTGTAAACGGTCGGTTCAGAACGCGTCTTTTGTTTCGGTGATGGCGTAATATTATCAAGAGTGGCGGTGCGTGGGAACGGTTGTGTTGTGAGTGCGCCTGTTAAATTGTCGTCGACAAGGGGTCCCACCGTCAGGGGCGTGACAATAAGTCCGGCGCCTTGTAGTGATTGTCGGGCATGTGTGATGTGATGAAATTTAGGTTACTTGGGTGTAATGCTCACCTGGTCAAATTACCGTCATTGTCTTTCGATTTGTGTAAGTTGTCTGTGTACCATTCAAAAGGGCCATATTTTTAAAATGACCTTTGTCTACCACTCATACGATCGCTAAATAATTTCAACAGCGACGTGACGTTTTTTACATCTGATAACTTTTTATTCGAATGCATTTCTTTCGGCTCATTACCGCGCTGAAATAATACAGTACTTTTTTGTGTTTTTGTGTTGTCTGGGGTGAGTCGCTTATCGCTTTTTGATGTGTTCAAACGCGTTATGCCGTCTGTGCGACACGACCGCTTTTACCTCTTTTTCATTGGTTCGGTTCATTTAAATAATGTAAGCGACATAAATGGTGTTGTCCCATTAGAGGCGCTTGTCATACCGGAAAACTGGACGAAACCAACGATTGTGTAAAACTGTTTAAAGAATCGCGCGAGTAACGTTCACAAATCAGACGGCGGTGTTCTCGATGGTGACGTACGTGAACGGACTTTGAGATGACTTCAACGTGCGTTTGCGGCGTCCGATTGTGCGGCCTTTGCTGGACTTTGTACGGCGGCCAACCTCACACTGGGAAACTACCACGTAGTAGACCGTCAAAGGCGGCGAGGGTCGCGGTGCGACTGTGTCAACGTCAAACGTACTAATTATACACAACGTTTGAATTGCGTTATGTAATATATATTTAAACGTTAAACAAAAACAATGTTGTGTTGAAAACTATGTCACAATATATTACCTCACTTTGAATTCTGGAGGTCTATTTTTGAGCTTGGACTAATCATTGACGAATGTTTTAGCACACTAAAAAAATACTTCTAGCCTCTATGGACGTAGTTCGTTAATTAAACTCGCTACAACATCTTTTGTTGGTCTAAATTTTTGTACAAATGCCCTTTCTACTATGTAAATATCATTATATTAATGTAAATAGAACATATATAGAGGTGTTCAATACGTAAGAAAACATATCAATTGTTATAAACAATGAGAACAAAAGCAACCCGTTTCCTTACTTACTAAACACCCTATATGTTAATTTACATGTTATAATTAGTTATGTGACATACCAATAAACAGATATTCCGTTGTTATTTGAGCTCGTTGTTGTATGGTCGCTGTCTTGACCTTTTTTTGGATAATTTATAATTTGAATATAATACACATTAACATGTTCGATTTATCCATTAATAAATTGATTTACAAACGTTATAAATACACCAAAAATTATACGTTTTCATACAAAATTAATTAGAATAGTAATTAGAGTATACTAAAATCATGATCGGTATGTTAGATACCCACAGAGTTCATCTGAAATTTTAGTACACTAATAAATATTTTTTAGCATACCAGCATTTAAAATACAGTTTTTTTAATTTCATACTGAGAGTTGCACAAAAACGACATGTTTTAGTATACTAAATAGATTAGTACACCAATATAAAATTAAAAAAAGACTAATTAATAATAAATACATGTTGGTTCATTTTCATATTGGTTGAATACAAACATTATTAAGATTAGCATAATACCAACTAGACTAATCATTTAAAGTGTTATTAGTCAAATAGCATTACAATTATTTTAGTTGGGATTGAATCGAAATTAAACTATTTAGACAATTGATAAAAATATAGCGTGCAAAGAGTAAATTTTATTTTTGATTTCCTGAAAAGTAAGTTACTGCCTTATTCGTTGCGCATATCAATTTAATGACTTTTTTAGGCTAAAAGTATTATTTTAAATTAAATTGTTCTAGATTTGTTAAATAATTGCTGCATACTAATGAAATATTATAAAAATGTTATAAACTATATAAATATCGTTAAAGCAATCTCAACATTTTTATTAAACACACTACTCAAAACTTATAACAAAACCGTTATTTTTATGTAATAATATAAGTACCTAAAATTATACTTTCACTAATAACTAAATCTTATAAACAAATTTAATTTAAATTTTACTTCAATATTGTAAATCTCATGATCTTTTTGAACACATAGTTTTATTTTGAAAGTAGAAACCAAAAGGATTTGTTTATCAATTAACATAATTATGATAAATTTTGTTGTACTTAATTATTCATAACATAAGCGCACGCACATTTCTTATAACGATTTTGATAAAACATCATAAATCATTTGTTGGCTTGATTATTTTTGAATTTAATGTAGTTTAATTATAAAAACATATTAAAAACATTAAAAAGCTTTTGATTGATTTTTTTCTTGTCATATGCGTCGCATAAATAACATTCGATTATTTGACACGTGATAATATAATAATACATATTAATTAAATCTAAGCTAATTTACTAGCAAAATAATACAAATTTAAGCAAAAATATGAAAATATATCAATTTGTTTAATAAAGCTTTTATTATAGAGAGTGTTTAGTAAGTAAGGAAACATATTACTTTTTATAAACAATGAGAACAAAAGAAACCAGTTTTCTTACTGAACACCCTATATAAGGGAACTTGTGTTTTTCTATCTTATAGTGCACGAGGTAAGATAACTACAAATTGTATTTTTGAGTTCCTAAAAAATGATCTCAACTTTATTATTTACATATATTATGGATAAGAAATGTTGGTTCGCATGCTTTGCATAATTTCATACAGATATAATAATTGTAAGATGAATGCACTGTGATGGTGTCACGTTTTCATAATCGTGAGAATTATTTTAATAAAATACAGACAGCACATCCGCTGCCTGAGACTGGTGAATTAACAAATAATATTTATTGCCAAATCGGCAATAGGTGTAATTATTATAAAAACCCAATAGACCTGACCATCGTGGTCAGTCGACTCCAGTGCCTTGTGTCATTCATCAGTCTCAGTACTCGGTTGTCGCTGTCCGGCTTACTGTTTAAAGTAAAGTCTTTGTTTATTCCTTTTCTAACCTATATACTCTTTTCCTCGACATTTCAGAGTACTTGTGTCTTGCACTTCGTCTGCACCTCGTACTCTGTTATCTTTCCTCACCTGGTACGCCTAGTATTTGTGTCTTGCACTTCGTCTGCACCTTATACTCGGCTACCCCGTTCTCTCTCTGAAGTACTTGTGTCTTGCACTTCGTCTGCACCTCGTACTTCATTATCCTCTCCTAATAACTAAAGTACTTGTGTCTTGCACTTCGTCTGCACCTCGTACTTTGTTATACTCCTTATCTGGTACGCCCAGTATTTGTGTCTTGCACTTCGTCTGCACCTTATACTCGGCTACCCCGTTCTCTCTTTGAAGTACTTGTGTCTTGCACTTCGTCTGCACCTCGTACTTCATCATCCTCTCCTAATAACTAAAGTACTTGTGTCTTGCACTTCGTCTGCACCTCATACCTAGGTGTTACTCTTATTCTCCCTTCCTATAACAACAGCCTTTCGACACCCACAGCTAACCCGGAGTGTCAGCCGAGCACGGTGACTGCTGTACGACAACACGCACGTGAATACCTAGACAGCAGGCACCACCTCCTCATATTCATCTTCGTACACACAGTTACACATTTACCTTTCACACATTTACTCTTTCCTGTGTTACGACAGCACTGAAAATCAAAATGACATATTATAAATAAAACAAAAATCTAAATTAAAATACAAATGTACTATCAATGAGACAGAAGTACCTAATAATATTTTACTCAATACTATTAGTAGGTCAAATTTTAAATATCATTGACAGATAGACTAAAAACCATACATTATATTAAATCATAAACACAGTGAAATATTTTTTTTTACAAACTTGTTTCATGATGCTACTTAATTTTAAGCATTGGAGTCATTTTTGTACGCTTTTTATTTTTTAATAACAGATGAATAGATAAATTAACAACTCTTATAACTTTTGATTCAATTAACATTTTGTTGTTTTGTAATGATTTATCTACTCATAGGCTATGTCAAAATCATACATTTTTTTTAATAATAAAAAATTTATTTTTATCGTTTTAAGTTTTTCCAACATTTCAAAATAGCTAGTTCTTACGTTTTTATTGCGAAAATGATTAATGGGTTGATAAAAATTTTAAAACGAGTAATTATTAAATTACTAACATTGAATGAGTGTCTAGTACGGGCAGTGTATACATTAGAAATATACACCAGTACGAGGTGTACCCACTAAATGTATTAAATTCTTTTAACTCAATAAGTATTTTCCTAAAGTTATTATCGACCCACCAATATTTTTTATAAGAAAAGATCTGAATAATGGTAATTTTTAAATAAAAATGTATAGAAAAATAAATATATTTTTCCCTTACTATAAAGACAAATAATAAAAATATAATTTTAACAAAATTCAAGAATGTATAAATTATTAAAAAAAAAAAATTGCAACGAATTATTAATTATATCGAAATAATAGAGTATTCAGTTGAAGATGTTTTTTCAGAAACAATTACAAAAGACTGTATGAGTTCTTATTGTGAAAAATATAAATATGAAAAACATATGAATCATAATTAATGTTTTAAAACAAAGATACCCAAAATTACTTCTTGTACTTTACTTAGTGTAAAAAATATATTAATGCTTAGAAAAAATTAAGACGAAAATTTTTCGGTTAGTCAATTAGATGATTTTATAACTTTTTTTTGTTTTAACAAATTTAAAGTCAAATCAAAATAATTTTTAGTAGACGAATTTCCAAGGTTAACTGTTTTTCGAAGAAATAAATTGTCTTAGAATTTAATTGAAATTTTAGTCATAAGTATACATAAACATCAGTTCTTAACATTTATATTTTGTTCTTAAAAATTATACTTACTTAACCATTATTAAAAACTTAAGTAACTTTTTGCTTTGGTTTAATTAAATATAAATGTACATAATTTAATATAACATTGAACGTAACATCTAAATGAGTATTAAATCAGTATTTCTAATGTAAAATACACCTGCTTTGCTAAAACTTAACCTAGCGCACTACTGTGAGCTCAGATTAAAAAAAAAAGAAACAAATAAGTAAATATTCAATATGAATTTAAGTGGTGTGTGATTTAAAAAGTTATTTCGGTTGAACTAATTTTATCGCTAATTCCTGTGTCAACAAAGTGGTAGTTTGTGCTATCTTAATTAAAACTTTTTAATCGGCAGAAATCATAAGTCATCTAAGTGAAAGTTATACATCGCAGAGAATAATTTTTTCCCGTAACGCGCCTATAAAAATTGTTAAAATCTAATTATTTTGAAGAACTGTTAACATCTCTACAACTATAATGTTGTGGTTCAGTGTAATTCCAATAATAAAATAACTTTATGATGGTGTCATAGGTAGTTTCTTTGGTAAATTTAGGATATAATCAGTTGTCACGCAAAATGATTATTATTAGTAATGCCAACTGATAATTTCATAAAAAAACCTACTGCTGTAATATTACTTTTTTTTTTGTTCGTTGTTTTCATATTTGTTCGTCATTATACTTCATTGTTACCTGGATACTAAATGTATTCATACCTTTAATGGTTGACAGTATTTTCCAAACGGCAGTAAATGTTTCTTGACATTATGCTTTTTCAAAGCTATAAATTTACCTAACTTTTAGTAGTTCATAAGATGACTGTAAAAACTGAATTTTTTTTTTTCTTTCATTCCTTGAAAACAAATAGAAATGAACTTGTGGTCGTTGGCTTGTGATAATACCACAATTTTACTCGACATTGTAACAGGCTTTTGAGCTTTAGTTTACTCACTATTATCTTTTATTGTCTACATGTTGGTTAAGTTAATTGTACTAACAGCTTTTTGCCTGATATCCACTACGTCATTGCATTGTCTGCTTAACTCTGCGGTTCATATATGTACGTGGGTAGTGATTACAAGTTGATGGATTGTAATTCTCCGACTGTTATTATGATAATTGATAACAGTCTACCGACTATCTAAGTGTAAAACATAATTGGGCGATACGTTTATTGCAAATGGAAAATGTCGCCGCCTCGTTGCAACTTTTTCAGTTTGTCACGACGTCAACTACCCCTTCTTACTGTTCATTAAATGTATTTTTATATTTATGTATTTTTTACGTGTTTTGTGGCATGTTTTTTATTATTATTCGAAACACTATAATAATATATCACATTTGTGTATTATGTTCGCAGGCATAAAGGATTTCTAAAGGATTGCCCAAACGGATTGCTCACCGAACAAGTAAGCAATGTTCCAAATAATTGTATGCTAATACTACAGCAAATTAAAAAGTGGACACTTAAGACCGTATTAAGTGTGAAAACCGTGTTTAAATAACAATAATCTTATGCCCAGTTTAATTTATCACAGCATTCAATTTTTAATCGTTACTAAAAAATGTAATGTGTGATCTAAACAAATATCACATATGAACACTCGGAAAACTTTTAAAAAATGTTTAATATAAAATCATAATGAAGAAATTTATGCTTACTTTTTTTACTATTAATTAAAATTCTATATTAAAGAAATTATGAGTCGTGATCGTGCTAAAAATCATTTACTTAAAAAGACCGACAATATCATTATTTTATGTGATATTATTCATAATTTTTATGTTCTTTGGTTTAACAGCATTATGAATAATAAACGAATTAATGTTGGTAATGAAGTGAATAGGTTTTAGCTTAAAAAACATTACTATATTCAGTACTAGTACTCAGTAAAAATCAAACACAGGCCACAGTAACTTTATAAATAACAGATTCTCAAATTTACCATTACTTAAATAAATATTTACTTAGATAATACTTCTATTGTTATATAATGACCGTGTTATTAAAAACCATTTATAAAACTTTACTTATTAAAAAAACTCTATTTTACTTTTAATAAGTTATTATTTGTTTTCCTGTCCTTAATCATTCTAAATATATTGACTTAACTTGAAAACTTAAAGATAAATCCATGAACGGAAAAATAATTTTTATGTGTACAAGATATACACTCACATTTTACTACTTCATTTTATCTGTAATCATAAACAATATATTTGTGATAAAATTTCAATAAAAATATACACAACGTAAGATACATGGAAATATATTCAAATTAAATTCAGTCACTAAAAATAAAAATAAAGATGTAAGATGTATGAAATTGTAATATATGCTTAAACGTATACATATTAAGGTTTTGTAAAAAAGCATAAAATTAAATTTCAAAAGATTGTTCGACAATTAAAATAATGTAGTTGTCAATAACAATATATGTTGTCATACTTCTGTTTTTAAAACGGGTTTGAGCACTTACTATATTTTTAAAAGTTCCCAAATTATACATTGTCCAGAATAAGAATATATTAAATTTAAAATGAAATATTTCAAAACAAAAATGAAAGTGATTTGTAGGGCAGATATTTTACCATTGGTTTTTTTCTAACAAACAATGGAACTAGAGCAGTTAACCGAGACTAAAAGAGTATTTTTCCGTTTCACATAAATATATATTTCAAAAGTTAGGAAACCCATTTGAAATCGATTTGTTTGTAATATCTTTTCTTGTTTTGTGTAAAGTTTGTATTTCAATTAGCTTAATGTATTTTTATAAAAATAGAATTATATTTAATGCGTCTATAAATATTTTTTAGGGCTTCATAAAAATTTACAGACAGTTTTTCCCTCAAGGAGATCCGACAAAATTTGCCTCGCTTGTATTCAGAGTATTTGACGAGAACAAAGTAAGTAATTTATTATAGTAGATACTAAAGTTAGCCAAATTTATTACCTTAATATGTATTTTACGAATAAAGAAACACCATCACAATGTGTAAGAAAATTAACTATTGGAATTCCTATTTATTATTCATGTTGTTGTTGTATACTGTTGTTTAGACTGTGATTAAACATATAAATTTTGTAGTCGCTGGAAAAATGGATATTGCCGGTTACTTAATTAACTTGTTCACTTAATTAATATAAGTCAAAAATATCCTAAAAGCAGTTGCACATAATAAATATTAAACTCAAAATAATAAAATCAAATAACAATAGACTCTTTGTAATCTGACGATAATCCGGTACCCAGTAATCCATCTATTATTCTTCAATGTAATAACCATATAAATACTATGGCATATGACGAACATGACTGATAAAGTCTAGATGAGCCTAAACAATTTTTGAATTTAATTCAATTAATGTACATACGATGTGTATTAATTTCAAATGTTTATGTGTAACCGGGGACTTGTTAGCCTGAGTGCAAATCATGGAAAGTACTTACTATTCGTGGGCGCAAACCGAATTAATGAGAGTCTGCCGTAAATAAAGAATTAAATTAATAAATAAGTATTCACACACATTACGGACCTTTTGAAGCATTCGTTAATAATTTAATATTTATTTGTTCATGGAACAACGTTCCGACTACAGCTGAGCTAACCTTAGCGCATGTATTTAAGGCGGAATACGGTGGAGATGGACGGTGACAGAGGTTAAATAACACCCGACTTTGTTATTAATACAAATATGTTAATATTTTGTATTAATAAAATAATAATAACAATAAAGATATACATAGCAAACAGAAATACTTACATTATTATTAAAAGTTACACTAGACTAATTAATTTTGAAATATAAAGTATCTCATGCCTGTTGCAAGCTCATTCGCATAGTTTATTGGATCTCTAAAGTTGAGTTTTAGTATCATTTTTCAAAAATAAGCTGACTTATACTTCATTCAAGCTGCTGTGAGGGATAATGTTTCCATGTTAAGTTATATAGACTACCTCTAACTCAAGGTAGCAGCTTCCAAGTGGTTAATTTTTTAGTACCCATAGAACAATAAAGAATTGTGTCGAGAATTCCCGTCGAGTGATTTTATGATTACCCTCAGTTATAAGGGCAAGTACTACGACAATGAATCGTAAATAAGATGATTTAAATACATAAGGGTTACATGAAGTTTCATGATATATATAATACATATTGTGATCTACAGTTTCCGCATTACACGCACGAGCAAATAAAAATCATTTTAAATCTTATACATTATACTTAAATAACACGTTATATTTATTGGCAGAGTGAACAATTGCAAAAGATAACAAAGATATTCGTAGGAATTGATGTGTTACATATGTTATCATTTTTATTATAAAAAATTATATAAACGTCCAAGAGTAACACAAAATGTATGATGAATAGTAATTCATTTATAAGAAAAACTTAGTTTGTAAAATGTGTAATAACTTTTGTCACATTGTTTAAGCGTAAAATTTCCTTTTTGCTAACGATTTTCTCATAAAAGCATTCTTATGATGGCTAATCTTTCTATCTTTTTGTTTAATGGACCATGAAATTCTAGATTGAATTAATCTCGGATCGTAAGCATCCTCGTTCTCTTTTTCTATTGGAACTAACTGATCTTTTGTAGATATCATTTCAAACATTTTAAGCGTACTTAAAATCTATTACAGTATTAAAGTTTATATGAAAAAAAATCATTTTCGTTTGAGTGCACTATGAAGATCCAAAGGATAATTACTGCTTTTCAATGTTACATTATGTTTCGTTTATGGCATTACCTATTATGAACTCAAAGTAAAGTGAATCAAGAATAGATCAATGTAATTTATATAGCAAGATATTTATTTATTTTTCTTGATGAATATTTTATTTACTTTTAAAAAATAGGAACAATTCAGAGCTTTGTTCAAAAAATATTTCAAAAATATTTTTGAACTACTTTTCAAATTAAAAATTGTCGGTTTTTTACATTTAATCTTGAGTTTATTTTTTATATTTAAAAAATGAAATAATTCTCAAGAAAATTATATTTTTTAAGACACTGTTTTTAGTTAGAATTTATGTAGGGAAACAATTATTATATTAAAAAAGTGATTTTGATACGCTAATATTACTTTAAACTTAATATATAGCCTTATAACTCAATATATTATTTAACGTCATTTACAAATTTGGTTATTTTTAAATTAACTAACAGATAATCCAATTACTTTTTGAATTGAAAAGATTTGAATTATTTACTAATTTATCTAGACCAAAGTAACGGTTAATCTAATTATTGTTTTGTAAAACGAAAATCTTTTTATATTGTAGATGAAAGTCACCAATGTATTAAATTCGTTTTTTATTGATTACTAAGGAAATGATTTATACGTGATTTAATTGGGTTCGTTTTAATATCGTAAAAAAAATCACGTTGTTAAATTTTATGAGTCAATTACAGTTGAATGTAATATTCCAATAAAAACATGATAAATATATCTATGTAGCACATAACTATACTACTTTTATCGTTTAATTGGTATATGTAAAAAATAAAACATTACAGCTAAATTACTATGGGGTTTGTTTTAAGTGAAGAGATGAATAGGTAGATATAAATTATGATCACACGTGCATTTGATATAAAACACGAAACATTTAAAATTCACGTTTCCATTAGTGCTAGTTTTTTACTGTTTTAACACATATTTCATAATTTCTTTGCTACAAAAAGAGACACGTCAGATTAATAATTGAAAAATCATAAAAGTTCTGTCAAATAATTCTCTAGAAACATTTCAAACAAACACATTAAATTTAAGAACGGTCGCATAATATTTAAATTATAAAATATTTTTTCTTCATAACGACAAACTGTGTACGCTGCGCTGTTTGGTCGCAATACAAGAAATTAAAAATAACAATGCCCTCTTTATTATAGAAACCAGCAGGGTTTCCCCATTTGTTTACTTAAAAAATCCTAACGAAGAAAAAATGAAAGTATTTTAGCCTTTAGACCTGTGGTTAACAAATAACATTATGTCACAAGTGTGCTTTTTATTTTTAAAATTAAAATTTATTTTAAGTTTTAGAATAATGTTCTTGTTGATACGGTTTGAACCGTCTGAGTAATTTCTAATGTAATTCTGGTGTAATAAAAAAATATCAAAAGCCAAAGTTATTCACCGTTTTTATTTTATTTTCTCATAAACAGTTTTAACGTTCTAAAATTCCATTTGTATCGAACCGATGCATTGTATTCCATGATGTGTACTAGATTTTCGGACACTTTTAATATTCTCTAAAATTCTTTTTGCATAAAAAAAAAAACTGTGTAGGTTTAAAAAATAACTCTGTGCAACTGATATTTACGTGTAGAACCCTTAAGCATGAAGGTACGTCGATCTAAATTACATTTATCCACAAAATAAGTACGTTTAAAGTAAATGAAAAATCTGATAGGATTTTTTTTCTTATTTGTTATGAAGTTACCACAAGTTTCTTCCCTCTTGCTTTTATAAAATGAGTAATAATGGAATATACTAGAATCATATCCCCCCCAAGAACACTATAGAGTCGCAAGGGAATACGCCACTAACGCCAAAGAGCCCGTCGGAGAGATAAATAATTGTTTAAAAAAAGTCTACAGATAATACGCATTTATAGTTGATTAACTGTTGCTAATAGCATAAACTTTTCCGTGTAATATTACAATGTTTACGTCATGAGTAGTTTTCTAGTTGATTTGCCATATATCATTGACCAGTGTAACACAACAATAATAATAAGTTTTATGATTGGAAAAATGTAAAAATATAGTTGTCTTTTGAAAGTGAAAACCTCGCCACTTTTATTGTATTGTCATACTACACTGCCGCCAACGCACAAGAATTATTACCAGTCATTTTGGGGTGAAACATTTCAAAAACTTATGTGCACTTAGATGCCTGAATTTTATAGCTATAAAGTTTTATTGTTTTGAACTAATGTGGAATTCTTAATTCACGACCTTTGAAATATTTTTAAATTGTAAACCACTTAAAACACATTTTTAACAAGTCCTCAATTCGTTGTTAATTACATCGCAATTTTATTTCTATTTTTCCCTCAATAAAATTGCGTGAGACATATGCTTTTCAACATTTTGTGTTAACATTAAAACTTGAGTATTCTGAAATGGTTAAATTAAACTCATTTAAAAATCAACTTCGTTTAGACTTTCTGTGTTAATTTCCTTCTATTATATAAATCACTAATTAACAAGTAAACAATCTGACAAAAATCTATTAAAACATTTACAAGCCCAACCTTAACTAGTGTACAACAATTACACTTTTGGTCATTCTATCTTCTATACTTAATACTGAGCGTCATTGTAACTTATTTTCATTGAAATCAAAATGTTTATTTAATGATGCATGTTTTATTTTTTTCATTAAAAAGGGTTTTGTCGATAGGCCCGGAATACCTCTCTCAAGTTCATAATATTTTTCATGTTAAACACCAAAATAAAAACTATGATATCAATAGCCCCATGAATCGTATGTTAATTATTTATAATATATTAAATTATTATGATTTTTGTTTTGATAACTATCTGAAATTCAAATTGTGTACCAAAAATGTATAGTATTTCATACTATTCGTGAAATGTTTTATCTTTTGTTATATTTAAACTAATTTAACTCTCTTTAGGTGTATCATATTGTACTCTTTGCTCCTCTGCAAGGTATTAGTTTATAAAATTAATAAAATGAGTTTTAAAACGGCGTTCTATGCAAAGTAAAATATTTCACATTGTATTACACATAATCTAACATTAATTTCAATAATTATAAACAAATTCATAACTGAAAATATGCTTATATCATAATGCAATTCTTTTCATATTTTTCAAACAAAAAATAGGAACAAAAGGTTTATATTATAATGTTATTATAGGGAC